AAAAAAGGGGGGGGGGGGGGGGGGGGGGGGGGGGGGGGGGGGGGGTATATATCATGCCCTCTCTCCGCCCCGTTCTGGCTTCTTCTCTTTTTCTCCTCAGGGTCGCTGCGCTTCACTCACTTTACATTCAATTCTTTTCTTTTCCTAAACAAGAGCTGTGCTCTGTTTCCTTCGATTCACTGAAACCTTTTGCTCGATTTTTTAACCAACCAATCTTTAAACACTTTTTTCTTCTTACCTTTTCATCTATTATTTCATCACATCATTCAAAATGAAGCCTGCTTCAATTCTCCTTCTCGCCGCTGCTGGGCTTTCATCCGCTCTGCCGGCCATGTCTGGTACCGCCAAAACCGGTGTCCAGGCCCGGGACAGCCGATCTCTCTTTGGCCATGCCATCAATGCCATTGCTGCCCGTAACTTGGTCCCTCTCAACGCCAACACGGCTGCTCCCCCTCCTGCGGCTGATCCCGCCGCCGACAAGAAGGAGGCCCCTGCTGCTGCTCCTCCTGCCGCTACTCCTACGGACAAGAAGGTTGGCGATGACAAGAAGGCCGGTGATGCCAAGGCCACTGACAAGGCCGGTGATGCTAAGGCTACTGATGCCGCGGCGACCACCACTGCCGCTGCTGTCACCACCACTGCTGCTGCCACCGATGCCGCCGCCACCGAAGCTGCTACCACAACCACCGCCGCCCCGGCCATCGAGACCACCTCCGTCGCCGTCGGCAACGGAACCGCCTCCGACAACGGCAAGGGCAAGGGTAACGGCAAGGACAACGGCAAGGGCAAGAACCAGGGCCAAGGCAAGGGAAAGCATAACAACAACAACAACAATGACAACAACGGCAACAACGCTCTCAGCGCAGCCATCGCCGGCGCCCTCAACACTCTCGGCCTCGACGGCGTCCTGGACGCCAGCTCCCTGGACAAGCTGAGCGTCGGCAACCAGATCTCGCTGCTGGCCCAGATCGTTTCCCTGCAGACCATGAAGGACCTGCAGATGGTTGGCGGACAGGACATTGTTATTGTGTTGAACCAGGGCTTTAAGAGCAATGGGCTCAATGTCAGTAAGTATACACCGCGATTCTCTTATAACTGTTTTATGTGGTCGGTGCTAACGGGGTTGGATTAGTTATCAACGCGTAAGGCGGGATGAGAAACGAAGATTCTCGCTTTTGGGTAAAATAGGAATGAAGTGGGAATGAAACACGACAAGGGTTGGAGCTGGTTGATCTAGCATGGAGAGTACGTAAATCACGATAACTCGGGAAATAAAAAGAATTGTCAATCAAAACTGTGCTTCTCATCATGTGAATGTCAAAGCTTTTCCCTCCTGAAATGTGAATCTTGCAAGAGTCAAGCTCCAAGAATTAAGAATGCTGCTCATCCATCATCCAATCTAGTACAATCAACCCAAAACACAGAAAAGGTATCAATATAATCAACGAGCAAAAAAACAGTAAGCGTGATTCGATACAATTAACTCATACAAGAAACCATATTTATAGCCCCTTGACAACAAAAAAACAAAAAAGCTATGTTTTCAAAAAATTTGCCCTCAACTTCATGATTCTTCGCTCCCAAGCCACCAGCTCCCCCCATAACTCCCATCCATCCAACCATCCATCCCTTCATTCAATATGATGTGTGTGATTTCCCTTTTCTCCCCTAAAACACCTGAAAAATAAAAAAAAAACAAGAAATTTATATAAACAAACGTCCCTACATACCTTTCGTCAATCCGTCCGCTCGCAGAGAAATAGCTCATCAACGTCGCTCATCTTGAAGCCAAACACACGACCATGACCATCCATCAACCCACCACGGCCTTTTCACTGAGACTCTCGAGAAATCCTCCCAGATCCTCCTTCTTGACTTCCACAACAGAGTGCTCGAAGCTGTCGATCCGCACGCGCGCGCTCGTCTCAGACACGACTTCCTGGAATGCGTTGCCAAACTTGTTCAAGCCATAACCTCTATCGTTCTCAGCGTCTTCATCGTCCGAGTCATCTTCCGATTCAGACGAGTCAGACGCTTCAGACTCCGTCTCTAGTTCGTCATCATCATCGTTGTCGTCGTTGCCTTGATTCGCAGCTCGTTTAGCCGCACGCTTCTCTTCCCGAATCTTTTCCTTCGCCTTTCGCGCCTCCTCTTTCTTCTTTGCCTTGGCTTCTTTGTTGGATTGCCTCTCTTGCTTAGTAGCCTTGTTCATAAACACGCTATCGGGTCCTCCGCCACCGCCAGTACCAACGACGATGTAGACTCCCCGCTTCTCGTTCAGGCTCGCCACTACTAGGGGTGTTCCACGACCGCCATGGGACAGCTTTCCCTGAGATTCCTTTTCTTGCTCAGCCAAAGCCTCTCCTATCCAGAGAGCCAGCTTCGTCAAGGCGGCTGGGTGGGTGAAGAGAGCAACATCTGGGCCGTCTTTGACGACACACATGCGGAAAGCACGGAGATGCTTGATTTGTTTCTTGTTGATGAGGGAGGTCCCTGTTCGGTAGATTGCGCGGTGCAGGAATTGCGCCGTTGGCAGCCCGGCTTTGAGGGCATCGATACTGTCATATTATGTTAGCATATCATTCTCATTTTTTCCTGCACCGGACTCGCAAGTGCAGCTCACTTTTCCAATGCATCATACGCTTCCCAGAAGCGCCCAATCCACTCCTCGCCCTGCGCAACCAACTCTGACTCGTCCTCCATCTCACGGGTCACCTGGCTTGGTCCTCCGTTTGTTGTCTCCAACGTCTGAGCATGTCGTCCAACCTCTAGCAGAGCACCAATGACAACGCCAACATCTTGAGCGCTGAGGGTGGCACGCCAGCCCCAGCTACGAACAAAGCCCCATCCATCCTTGGCTCCCGCTCGATCTTTGCCGTCCGTATCGACCGCTGGGACCATCTCGTCCAAGTTGTATAGAGATCCGTATTTCAAAAGCTTTGCTCTGAGTTCGCGCTTCAGCATCATGTCCATGTGCGTATAGCTCTGTTTGCACTGCGCCAAGCTGACCCCCATCTTGGCGAGAAGCTTGTGAAGCCGCTTGATGCCCGCCTCGCTCCAGGTTCTTAGCCTAGAAAAGAGATACGGCGAGTGTAGCATACTGTCGTAGAGACTCCAGTGTCGGATCAGAAGAAACCTTGGCTCTGGAGACAGGCGAATGCCCGTGTCTTCAGGGTTCCTGGCAGTGGTTGGTATGATGCCGTTATTTTCAGGGGCAACTTTTCCGTTTGTCATTTCTGGAGGGTTCAACCTCCGGACCTCATCTCGCAAGAGCTGTCGCAGGCGAGCGCCTCGCACGCCAAACCACCCAGACGGTTTCCCACCTCCACCAGAGCGGACGGGGGCGGCAACGCCCGCTGATGACCGTCCGTAAAGCTCCATGGATGTCACTCCTACTATAGCCAGCCAGAGAAGATCATTGTCATCGCGACCTAGTTCGGAGGCTAACGAGTACATCATGGACGAGATGGGTTCTGCAAAGGACGAGCCCATCCTGTAGTATTGGTGTAGGACGGCTTCTTTATCTTGTCGCATTCGTAACAATCGCCTTCTCAGGGTGCGAGCGGAAACTTTTGGCGGAGGTTGGGCTCCTGAAGGAGGCTCGACGGGGTCACTCGACAGCACTGCAGGGTCTCGGATTGACAGCAGGCCTCTGGGTTTTGGTCTGCGGGGAGAGCTGGCTATGGAACTCGACTAAGATGTGTTAGAGATGCATTGCCGAAATGATACTTGGGAAGGACGCTTGGGTTTACGCACGGAATTACTTCGTCGACGTTGACGAGGCGGCTCTTCCTCATCGTCACTAGATTCGTCTTCGTTCAGGCTCTTTCTCTTCTGCCCTGCATGAGCTGACTCTTCTTGCCCAGAACCGGCTCCGTCGTCGTCGTCCTCATCTTCACTGGAGCCCTCATCGCCTTGCTCCTCAATGTCTGGCATATCCAGAAGCGCAAGGTACGCATCGCGCTCCGTCGTGAGGTCCCCCTCAATATCGCCGTCGTCAAACACCACAATGCCGCCTTTGCCCGAGTTGTACGATCGATTGATGGCGCCTCCCGTGATTCCTGCCGGACTCCTGGACTGGTACGAGCTCGACACTTGGTTGGCGGGCTCGAGCGGAAAACCGCCAAAGACATTGGCCAAGTTCCAAGGCCTATGAGCGTCAAAGACCCAGACCTCGACGCCGCTGTAGGGAGACTCTTCGCCTTCGGGTTCCAGTCCCAGCAGCGGGCCAAGATCGACCATGCCTCCAACTCCGAGGCAGACGACAACTCCTCCACTGCCTCCCTGCGACTCCATCATCGGGACCACAAGCTCCCTTCCGGCCTTTTCCAGGTCATTGTAGCCCGCGACGGGTTGGATCTTGTGCGGAATGTAGTCGTGCTTGAGGAGGCGAGTAAGGATACGGCAAGCGCAGAGAGCGTCTGGTTCGAGCGCGACGAGGATCAGGACGGCCGGGGAGAGAGGATGTCGAGTGTTTTGAAGGTGCGAGTAGAGCTTGGATATCAGAGAACGCGGGAGATACATGGCTTGAGACGGCGGGTATGGATATCTGTATCAAAACCTATAGAAGCCCCAATTGGTAGAACAACGGCATGGAATAAAAGCTGCAAGTAAATGCTTCTTTTCTCTTGCTTCCTGGATAGGAGGTGATGACTCCGGAAACGCGCCCAATCCTGGCCTGGTCGTGACAGAAAAGGGAACTGGCGTTGGACACGGGCCCAAGGCGCATAGCACAATGAAGAATCTAGGAGGACTTTCTTTTGGTTCCAAGTTCAAGCCGAGCGACAAGGGAATATGGAAATGGAAATAAAAACCAGATGCAGCATATCAATGAGGGAAATAAGAAAAAGAAACAAAACAAGAGACAAAATGCTACGAGCAAAATGCTGATGCCGATGCTGACGCTGATGCTTAAGCCTTTGAATTTTTTATGTATTTTCTTTTTGTTGTCGAAGAGCCGGATGTTTGAAGCACACGAGGATGTTTTTGCGCTAGAAAACGCGTGTATTTGGCCATTAAAGAAAACGCCCAATTGAGTGACGCGCACCGCGACGAGTGGGAAGGATCGATGGAGGGGTCCTGCCAAGTGGGGCACCAGTTGTGACGTGACATGCAGTTTTGATTGAAGCAGGAGGAGCATCTTCTTCCATTTACTTCGGTACTAGATATTGCATAGTAGTCAGGTATTCTATAGATTTTAGTTGTATGAAATATTCATTCTTCTCTTCCTGCTTAATAAAAGAAAATGAGGGAGAAAGCTACAGCGGTTGCTGGTGACTAAGCACATAAGCAGCTCACATCAACACTATATTACCTTAGTAGCTAACACCCCTGCCAAAACAAATACACACAGACACAACACGCAAACTAACAGAGGCGCCGCCAAAAGATGCAAAAAACACATCCAGCGCAAACCCACGACTCAACCTCAACGCAAGGGGAAATCAGCAGGCAGCCCGCAACCGATACAAGCATCATCTGCCTTTCCTGCAGGCCAAGAAAAGGACGGCCATTTCCGTCCCGTTGCCCGCCTAAATCCAAACGCCTTTTGGGCTCCCCCGATCTTGGATTTTACGCCCGTCGTGGGTTTTTTTAGGTTTCGTTTTTTCTTTTTCCCTGATTCGTAAGACGGGGTGTCTGCGTATAGATGCGAGTCAAGCAAAGCAATCAATGTTTTGCTTCGGGGACCATAATGGCCAGCAAACTTGGTGTGTCTCGGCCCGTTCGGCTGTCAATTAGATTAAAACACTGTCAGCTTAATATAATCTATTGGCGCGTTTCATTCTCCGGTTCATATAATACGTATTTCAAATAGGTAAATGTTGCGGCGCTCTGCGAACCAAGACTTCCAACCCACACGCCTCTGGGCTTCTTGGGCTCTTTGGGACAGCGTCACACGACACGGACACCGGGTGGTCGGTGGGAGAACCCGAGCCAAGGCCCTGGGAAAGCAGTGTGTCACGTAGCCTGTGCTGAGTCGAGGCTTACTTGGTTGCTTGATTACTTGCACAAGGCACTCGGACATGTACAAACAAGATGAAGTATTGGGAACACGACATGCCCACCCCGGCAAAACCAAGATGGGGACAAGATAACCGTCATGAGAATGCGGGCAACTGTACCCGTATCGTCTCGTATTTTCAAAA